ATGTGGAAAACAATGATTATCAGTTTTCCAAAATTTTCCAACTTCTTTGTAATTTTAGAAAACAGAAAATTTTCATTTTCCGTGAAAAATTTAGAAAAATAGACGAACTAAACGCGTTTTCAAAATTCTTATTTTTCTTGGAAAATTTTTCCGGAAAACGGCCCATTTTTCCACAACTAAACGCACCCTTAGTGTTTTGTATACGTTAAAATACTTTGTAGTTTGTGTTATGCCAGCGTTTGTTGTATTCATAAACTTGTGTTAGTGGATTTGTGTATGCCAAAACTGTTTTCTTAGGGTTACCCTAGTAGTGGTTCAGATAGTTTAGTACTTATATTTGAGATTTGGATCTTTATATATATATATATATATATATATATATATATATATATATATATATATATATATATATATATATATATATATATTATATTATGATTCATATTCTTTAGTTTGGTGTCCTGTAGTCACTAGAGAAATATTAGCCTAGTATTCTTTTACTGTTTTACTTTGTGTACGCTACTACTTTTTTCAAGGGTTCCTTAAAGAGTAGTAGTTTGAGTTTAACAATGTTACGATAAGTTCCTATAGTCGTGCTATGACTAGTTGTTGTCGTACGCCCAGCTTCCCGACGCTTCGTTAGACGGTGTACGTGGTAAGAAAGTTATGTGTGCACCAACTACCGTCGGGTTATAGCTAGCAATTGCAAGTGGAGGTGTCAACTTCGTATAAATATATACATATATTCCCTTCTTACTTAAGATTAATAATTATAAGCCTAGGCTTATAGCTAAAAGTTATTCAATTACGGGATGAATTGTGTGTCATCTAACACTTGTTCGTGGGAGCCTCATCTGGTCGATAGCGTTTTGTTCTTTGTTGTACTTACACGAGATAATTATTGTGTGTGTGTGTACATATATATATATATAATATATATATATATATATATATATATATATATATATATATATATATACACACACACACACACACACAGACACAAACATACATATATGAGAATGATCAAATGAGAACACCTAAAAGGTTGAGAACGCAAGAAATAATTCTGGACCAATCAATATATAAGGGCATATTAGTAATTGTATATTTTAATTAAATTAAAATAAAAAAAATTCAATCAAATTCCCTTAAATTTAGGATCAGTTACCAAAAAATAAAGAATTATTTCATTTTTTACATTTCATATTAATAGAATATCTAAAACATTTTTATTAAGAAAAAATTTAAAACTATAAAAAATTAAATTTTTTTTCTTCAAAATAAAAATTCACCGATTTCATGTTTTTTTTTTCAAAAAATTACTAGAAATCCAACCCGAAATCATTACATTTGTATTCATAAATGATTTTTTTTTCAAAAAAAACTGATATTACTCTAATAAAAAAATAAATGCACATTAATTTACAAGTAATCAAATTCATTTTTTTAATAAACTGAAAATAAAAGGAGTGTAAAAATAATCATTTCTTAATAAAAGAATATCTATAATTATAAATAGATACATACATTCACACATGATTACACTACTATTCACAAACGAATACATTGGTATTAACAAATGAATACCATGCTTCACAAATGAATAAAAGAATACCTCTAATCATAACTAAATACACTCATTCACATATCATCACACTGCTATTCACAAATGAATACATTTCTATTAACAAAATGAATACCCTGGTATTCACAAATAAATACATGTCTCACGCATTTCATCAAACAACTTCTGTGCACAACTTTTTTACTTTGAATTTGATTACAGCTTCGTATGGCTATCTCTTCCATCAATTATAAGGGTTGGTATAAGATGAATTAGAACAAAGAAATATAGGGTTGATGTGTAAATGAAGAATAGTGGTCTACAATTCACTTAGAAAAATGAAGAACAAGGCAAGTTAAAATTAAAGTGGCGAACCGGGGAGAGCTTTCTGGGGTGCTTGCCAAAACTACAATTTAAGCATCAAGAACGTGAATCTGATTATCGTGAATCCATTATGCAACTTATTCAAATCACGAGACTTTGTCAGAACTACGATTTAAGCATCAAGAACAAAGGGGAATTCGGTGATGATTTTAAAGATCGATCAGGGAGGTGGAGAAGGCAAACCATAGATGTGGCGAAGGTGTCAGATACATGTTGGGTGGTGGTGGTTGTTCAAAGTTGGTCAGTGGTAGTGGCAGTGAGTGATGATGACGGCACACAACAATGGTGGTGATTGTTTTCCTGCTTCTTTTTTTTTGTTTCAAAACCTATTCTCCTCCGATCAATGATGAAGGCTGGAAAAAAAGGATGCAGGCAGGTGGTGGTGAGATATGAACATCGATGGCAATGACGTCATAATGTGAAAAAGATGGGGGTGTGTGGCTGACAATAAAAAAATCAAATAGATTAGGGTTTAGTATGTATTGAAATTGAGAGAAACAAATATTCAAATTAATATCATAACTAAATTATAGAAATTGCAATTTATTTCTATTATTTAGATTTCCTATTATACCCTTATCACCATTTCAAAGTTGCATATTTAACCGGTCAGTTTTATAATTTACATAAATGACCCGATTATTAATAGCCCTATATCTAATTATTTAGAATGTTATGATTTGTTCTTGTGTTCTCAACCTTTTAGGTGTTCTCATTTGATCATACTTATATATATATATATATATATATAATATATATATATATATATATATATATATATATATATATATATATATATATATATATATAGAGTGTTTTGCGTAGCTAGGTATTTGGGTGGAGTAAGCACTAGGTATTAAGCTTATCCAAATGATGGCTACAGTAATGAGTAGAGAAAAAGTGTTTCCTTGAAACTAGCCAGCTTAACAATTAGATATGATGTTTTCTATCAGTGCGAGTCAGCGTAACAATTGGGCATAATAATATATCCCCCCCCCCCCCCCCCCCCCCCCCCGGTAAAAGGTTTGAAGATAGTAAAGTTGTAGGCCTCGACGTATACTACAACTTCCCTCTTTTCGTTTTTGGCAAATTTTAACTTTCGTATTTAGTTTATATTTTATAACCGTTATGATTTTATAAAAATCATAACTCTTTCATGTGGGTTTTGATTAAGGCATTCTTTATCTCAAAATTCATACTTTAAGTAGTACTACGTTTCTCTTTTTAGTAACTTCTGCTAAAAGTTAATTGTTTTCCTTGTAATTTTTGATATTGTGTCTTCTTATGTACAGTAGATTTTTATTATTATAGGAATCATATTTTTTCTGTACTAAGCCGGATTCTTATGAAGTTTATATTTTTTAAATTACGGTATCGTGTTAAATGTTAACATGTTCATAACATGACACGATTTTTCGTGCACTCATATTGAGGTCGACATAAGTAGGGACAAAAATTGAATATATTTATTCATATATTGAATGGTAACTGAGATCCAAGTGTTTGTTGTTTGACAACGTTAGCTCTTAACATTGTTTGCCAATGTATTTTATGGATTCTCACAGGAGTGGACATCGACGAATCTATTCAATGAAATAGTGTACGATGTCCTATGTTTCATAAACGATCTTTGTGATCATGGTGGTTTTTAATGGAATTTGAGTGTGCAATGCTCTGTTTTTACGGTGCTCATTGATTTATAACCTTTTTTTTTTCTTGGGTTCGTATGATTTTTGTTTCGATATTCAATAGCGATTATTTTAATTTGGTCCAGCCAAAAAAACTAGATGATTTTCGGTCAACATACTTAACCGGGTTTTCCTATTCCTTAAATTATGAGTTTAAGTTTCTCAAAAAGTTTATTCATGCAGTTTTGGAAGAAAAAGATTGCTGGAGAAATGGGGGAAAAGAAACACAAGTTGTCAAGACTCAAGAAAATTAATATTTAAACAACTTAAACTAAAACTTATATGCCAATTTGTAGCCTTGCTCACGTAGAAGATAATGGAACTCTTTATTTAACTTTTTAACTCAATGATTAATAAGGATAACTTTATTTATTAGGGAAACTATTATTTTTCTGTTTAATGAAGATTAAATAATCATTGTCTTAGAAAACACACATAAACATGATAGAACAACGTTACCAACTCCTTTGTAATCATTTTTCCGGACATTAATTTTTAAATACATGGATTACCTCATGTTACTTTGAGGTTAAATATCTATTTCGACTTTCGTCATCAAAATAAAATAATTATAATATAACTAATTAACTTATATATCAATAAATTTTCCCCTCAAAGTCTAATGAGTAATTACTAAAATAACATTCTTCTTCGTACACTATGATAGATAATACATAACTAGAGCTCTAGAGCTCCACGTCTTGAGATTAATACAAGTATAAAAAGCACATCAAAATCAAATCAGGACACTTTAGTAATAGTATTCCATACGAGTAAACAAAGGAATTGGGCTATTGGGTCTAACTCAAATGGATATGGATTGGGCCTCTACTATTGGCATTATTTAATATCTTTTCGAAATTCTTTTTCAGAATTATTTAGTATTTTAACTAAAGTTGTGGTTATCGACCTTCAAAATTAGAACTGGTTGAACCGGAACCGAAACAAATATGAGTGGGATTGGTTTTGGTTCCTAAACTTTGGACTCGATTAGAACATGTTCATGTTTTTGTTCTTTTAAAACTGTTACAGAATTTAGAACAGTTATTCATTGTAACACTGGTAATCAATTTGATCAGAAACTTGTTTATCTCATCAAATTGATAAACAAGTATCTGTGCCAATTTGGATGCCTCTTAAACTTGTGCTACATGTGAGGAAATTTTCCCTGGAAACCCCTACGAGGGTTGAGTTTGTCCTGTAAAGGAGCTCGAGCCTGGGGTGCTTGTTGAAATATGCGAGTAGGCTTCCGATTAATCATTTGTCGTTTAAAAAAAAATATTTGTTTATGCTCACTCCTAGACTGTAAGCATAGATATATAACAAGTAACATAATGACACAATTATACATGATTACAATATCAAAGCCCTAACTTTAAATCCAAATTTAAATTTGAAGAACTTGAATAATCTTCTCGAGGGGGAGGCAAATTCAAATCGACATTACACTTTGAGGGGAAGAGTACAAATGTTGATGCAGCTGGTACAACACCATCATCTTTCTCCCAATGACACCTTTTATGCCTACCAAGTGCTTGTCCACTTGGAAACACTCTTAAGCAAATACTACACTTATGTTCACTACCACTACTCCCCACAATCATCATCAAATTATTATCAAAGTGGCCCTCCAACTCTCCGTCCTTGAACTCCACACCCCTTTCATTTCTCATTATTCCAAAACAGCCCTTCACGTTCTTATGACTAGCCCTGTGCCCACCTAACGCCTGGTGGGTCCCAAACACCTTTTTGTAACTAGTGCACTTAAACGACGTCGCTGAAGCTTTGGACAGCATTAGCAAGCAAGACGCGAGATAGTGGTCTTCGGTGGTGGTTGGAAGGGTATTAGTATTACTATTACCATCATCTGCCGCCATGAGCGGCGGAGTGTGGTGGAGATTGGATGATGGTGGTGGTGGATTGATCCCCCGCCATGGCCGTTCAGGGTGGCAACGCATGTGGCCAAACAAAGCCTTCGATGACGGAAACATTTTCCCACATTCGCTACAGGGTTGGGTGATTTTAGGAGCATTCGGGTCGGGTTTCTTTATGTATTTGGGTTTTCTTGAATGACTACCGGAACTTCCACCACCACCACCAACAAAAATGCCATTCATGTTCTGGGGTTTGATCCTCTTTGTTCGTTTCTTTCTAGGGTTCTGACGTTCTGGGTGTGGACTTACGGTGGTGGTTGGCCGGAAGATCTCTTGAGCTTCCGGCGATGCATGGCGGAGTTGAGAATCTGATGAAGTGCTACTAGTCATGCCTTTGAGAAAAAAGAAAGAAAAAGTTGATGAAACGGATGATTGGGTTCTTATGCGGCGGTGGCAGCGGTTACACATAGTGTGTGTGTGAGAGAGACGGTGGAAGGGCAGTTATTTTCGGTTATGTAATGTTTATCTATCTTTGAGTATGACTTAACAAAAACAATCTAATCCAGTAGAGTGTACAACTTTTTCAACATTAGGTACATGTGATTAAGAAATGTTTTCTATGTTTAGTCGTTATAGTTCTATGATTTGAATTTAACGATGAAGACAGTGGTGCTGATTTTTCGATGGATGTTTTTTTTTTACAGTGACTGACCCCCCTATAGTTTGTCTTTATTTCATTTGAACCCCCTAAAGTTTCATTATTTTACAGGTTAGTGAACAACAAAGATTAAAAAAAGAATGTTACTATTAACAACAATAGAATTTGATTGTTTCACTTGGTTGATTGATGTTCTAATTCTGTTTTCCTCTGGACATAAACAAGATTCCCCTTGTTATTGGTAGGTGTTTGTTGGGGCCTTTTGATGCCTGAAGCTTTATTGGATTCAACATTAGGATCATTGTCTTTCAAGAGAGAGTTTTCGATTTCATCTGATTTCTTCTCGTTTTGCAAGTTTCTCAAAGATGTCTTCTTATCATGCTTTGAAAAATTAGTTTCTGAATTTGCTAGAATGCGTTCGCTGAACTTTGAATCTGTTTGTTGAACCATTCAGGTGGAGTCAACCTGTTACAAAACTCATTAGGAAAAACATAAAACCTAGATTTTCAAGCAAATCAATTTGGGGAAAACGTAAAGCAGATTATGTGGCTTGGATCTGAAACTGAAGGAAATCAATTGCGCATTAAGAGGAAATGGAATGAGCTTCAAACTCATTTCCATGCCTCAGAACTCCATGCTCATGAACATGAGTACCAAATGCAGTTATTGATGATTAATTGCGAATTGAAGACGAAAAGGATCATAAATCGATTATATAATGCAAGGAATGCTAACTGAGGTCTAGGGAAATAGTGAGAACTAGTTCCCTAGATCTATCCAAACTAATTGATATCAAATTCGTGAACAATTCAGCATAAAAAAAGGATTCGGAAATCAATTATCGAACAATTACAAAAGTTTGCAAATTCCGAGACTAGTGACAATTAGGGTTTCAAAATTCACTCCAACATAGAATAGATAAGACCTGATGGGAATAAAATCAAAGCGTATGAATTGATAAATGAATTCAAGAAATTTAAGAAGTGAAAAGACAAGCAAGCTCAAGATTAACCCAATTGAAAGAGATAAAGAGGGATAATTCATCTTCATATTACCTCGAAAGAGCTAATTTGATAGCGTTAGTGTATGCCCAGATAGCTGATTAAAGGAGGTTTGCGTTGCGACTTGTGAAATGATCAGATGAACTTCAAAGCTGTTCGTTAATTCCCGTTGAAATATTACTCCACTGTTTTACAAGCAGTATTATAAAAAAAGCAACAAAAATATATTTTTTTTAAATTGATTATTAAATTCTTTAACTCTTAAGTTACAAATAAGCAACAAAATATAATTTGGGAAAATGATTTAAAAGCCGAACAAAATTTCCAAACCATTCAAAAAACTCCAATTATGTTTTATCTGTTCATAAAAACCCAACGAACCTAACCTTTTGTCTAAAAAATCCAACAAAGTTTCAAATCGTTCAAAAAATCTCAACTTTGTTTTGTTTAAGTTCGTTGGTTTTTTTTTTAATAGCTAAAACATGATTGGTGTTTTTTAAACATTTTGGAAACTTCGTCGGCCTAAC